ACATAATTAGCATTATACAATGAGGTAAGTTCACAAAGTTCAAGATCCACGCACTGTTGAATAAGAACAGATTCAGGGCTCAAATAGAATGTTTTGCTTGATAGACATACGGCTAATAAACTGAAAGGYTTCACTAAACACATGACTTTGTAAAAATGTGAATTTCCTGGAAGACAAAAATATATTTGGATATTAAATTTCCCYAGCCAAAATAAGAATTCCTAAGGTAGTATTTGACTATGTAACATAGAAATCCTTGTGCTTGAAATGATTTATACTGTTTATAATAAAAATTCCTATGTAGTACTTTACTAGTTGTCTTGCCAAATTCGAGGTCTTAAAATCCATGTAACAGAGAAATCCTTGTGCTTCAATTTATTTAATATCATTTTAAATTTAAAAAATTCTAAGTAGTATTTAACTAGTTGTCTGCCACGTTGGAGGCCTTAAAATCCATGTAACAGAGAAATCCTTGTGCTTGAAATTGTTCATACCATTTTTGATAATTCATAAGTGAATGATCCGTAATTTCATGCCTCATGGCTTCTTCAACATCAATAAAATCTGTTCTGTATGAACAAATATTTATAACTGTGTCTGTTGCAGTCGATTCCTTTTTTTAGATGTTTATTAAGAGTTTACATATTATGTCTGCTTTTCATTCCGTTTTGAATCTAAGAGCAAAATAATTTGTTCCAATTCATTTCTCAGCGTTAACTCTACTCAAGACGAAAATATTTAATTTTCAACAAACAACGGGAGGAAAAGATCGCAATCATTGATTTGTTTATGATTTTAATTTTCTCAACATCTTAAATAAGTACCAGTTAATGCTATTTTTAATAAAGAACTGAAACAAGCCAATAGTAATGGTTCCAGGCTAATTTTTTAAGTGGTGGTTACTCCGGTGGTCAAAATAAAGTCCTTCAGCCATCCATTTCTTGTGGTAAAAACATCTCTGATTATTTTCTCACATTTTTGTGGTAATCCTATTAAATATATTCATTTAAAAAAATAAACATGATTTACTTAACATAGTGAATTGAATTGCGACTTAGTAACTTTTACTAGTCTCCTATATATGAAGCCGCTAGAGTGATTATATTTAACCCATGAAAAGATTTATGCATAATAGTTAKTAGTAGGCTCTAAACCCATTGTTTTATTTTTTATTTTTATCAACTAGTACTAACTAAATAGTCATTTTTCTTTCCAAGTTAAATAAAATCACTCTATTACTATCTTTATGCAACACTGTCTCCCCTAGCGGAGAGAGCATTACATGATGAAACTAATAGCCACTTTGAAGGAGACTACTTGCCCACTGACCAATTCAGAAACCAAAATACAGTGAGTATGGCTGCTATCAAGTTGTTATTTTTTCGTTCTTCAGTGTCGGAGTTATTAAAACAGATAATGCACGCTAACTAAAAAGATCATGAGATAAACGATATTTAAGTAGAATTCCAACCAGGTATCAAAAACCAATGGAGACAAAATTAAATATGACAAAATGGTTTGTTTGACTGATTACGACTGATTCTAATAAGCTCAATTTGGGCACTTTTCTTTAGGTTTTCTAGTTGACCACCATCTGTAAAACCCGACACACTAAATTCCATTTTGAGCTGTTAGTTAGGCAAGCTATGAATTTGATCAGCCCAGATTGTTTCTGGGTTTGATCTATGAGTTAGCCATGACTTGCCTCAACACAGATCATATTGGGGTTCAAAAAAAAMMAACAAAAAAAACAACATTTTAAGACTGCTAAAATGTAAACAACAGGCAGCCATATTCTGATTCAGATATTAATAACTATTGTACACAAAATAATAAATCATACCAATGAAAATCTCCCAAACTATATTTATACACAAACTACACTGTATGCATCTTTTGCCCAGATAAATATTTTTGAAATTTATATTTAGTTAAGTTAGAATTTGAATGAAAATAAGCATTAAAGGCTATAGTCCATTTGCATTTTATGGTAAGTAAGTTTCACTACCAGTACCAAAATACCATTAAGAAAAATTATAATGGTGTAAAATTTTTAAGCCTCATGGGAATAGTAAAAATAATTGAATAAAATAAGGTGGAAAGGGATTCTGGTAGTGGCAGTAAAGAGCAGTTTAAGGCAAATGGTCTGTTATGGAATATAGTATATGACAAATATTAAATTACCTATTTTACTGCTGCGTGCAACCTACATCTTTGACTGGTCCACTATTTGGTCTCTCAACTACCATGTCGATATGGTACTGGTAAAGAGCTTTGTAGCAAACCCATTTTTCTGGAATACTTCTGTTAGATACTTTGACAGCAATTACTGTTGTATCTGAAAGAAGGACATACGACACATCATACTCAAGCTCGGCATAAGGCTGAAAGTTCTCTGGGCATTCCAATCCAGACGGCAGCTCCAAGAGACAGTTCAGTGTCTGAGGGGCATCAACAGGAACTTTGCTTTGTATGACAGGCAGCTTGTCAATCCGCCATACAACTGCCGAGTACTCTGGTTCGTACTGGGCCGTACCAATACTTGCTGCAATGGAACACCTAGAATGCTTCAATCTGCTCTTGATCCCTGCCGCACGCTTTCCTTTACTTGACTTAATTGACTTCTCTCTCCCTAATAGTCCACTGGTTCTGAATAGTGGTACCCAGGTCTCGGGAATYGGAAGTCTAAAAGTGACATTGTTCCTGCCATATTTAGACATCTTACTTTCTTGACAAAGTTTGATTTCAGCTTTCATTTCAATTCTTTGTTCACTGTGAATAATTAATGCTGCTTTGACTAAGAGGGGTAAAGGCTTGTGTTGTTTGACTCTGAATTGCATCAACTCAAACGTACATGCATCCAGAGGATGAAAAATGATTGAGTGAGACTCTTCAAATGAGCTAGCATCCACACACTTGTGAAAATTGCAGTCTTTAAGTTTAATCCAGTGGTGAACGCGTTGAGGTTTCAGTTCTCCTCTTAGTCGAGCTTCTTCTCTCTCTTTGACAACAATATCATTTAGCACCAATTGACATTCCGGATCTCCAGTTAAGAATGCTCTTACTTTTATTCTCACATTTCCACCTTGTTTTTTAATTTTCCCATCGCCGTTTACTAATGCAAAGCAAGTGTCATCCACGTCGACAAACACTTCATCCTTGCGGTAGGTAATACCCCTGTCTCTGTATGCAGGGAGAGTGCGAATTGAGTTTCCTATGGCTTCCATAAACTCTCTAATGACTAAGTGACTCATTGAGCCGACTTTTATGATTGGCATTCCTTCACTAATGTGTTCATACGTTCCCTTCTGCCGCACACTCCTTGTCTCCTTGTAATTCAAATACACCAGCTTCGTTGTGTGAACTTTCCCATGGTGACCCCTGAGTTGCAGTCGGAGTAGATCAAAACTAAAACTAGCTTGAAGTGGAATCTCTCTAAATGGCGCTGAAAGCTCATACTCCTCAAAAATCTTCAAAGTGTTGCCATCGAGTTTAATTACCACGGATTTCCATTCTCTTGAAGTGAGCTTTTTCTTCTTATCGGGGTAACGAAGAAGCATGTTCCAGGAAGTATTTGTGGTTGCTAGCGTAAAATTTTCACCAATAGACTCATCATCTGATTYGTGTAAAATGGCTGGTTTTTCTTCATCTATCTCAGTAGTTGTGGCTGCTGCTGCTGCAATCCCCTTTTCGATATGCTCAGCAGCGGGTGCTGACAATGCGGGACTAACCTCCAGTGGTTTATTGTCAACTTTAACCTGTCCTGTGTCCTCAGTTTGGTCAAGTTTCAAATCTTTCTCAAAAATACTAACATCATGAAAGACCCATTGAGAAGGATCGGTGGTTTGACTTGTAGATGGCTCAGATGATGCAGTTGATGCAGGTACCCCACTAGTATATGTTGATACGTCAACAGTTGCTAGCCCTTGTACAGCATTATCGGAAAGAAATGGATTAGTACTAGTGACAACAGTCAAGGGAGGAGGACTTTGAAACAGACTAGAAGTTGGCTTAGGCGTGATGATGGGTGCGTTTGCAAAAGGGTTGGGACTAGGTGTTGATGGAGCAGCACAAAATTGATTTGCAACAGACACATTGACACTCAAGTCTTCTCGGATGGAGTTTTTCTGTCTATTTGCTTCCTCAAAGGTTACCCAGTTCGGTTTGGGTGGAGTCGAAGAAGAAACAGCCTCCTTCACGACCCCTGAACTGTTAGCAGTAGTTGATAATCCCCTTGCTTTACCAGCATCAGAAGAATCTTCAAAAACCACCCAGCTTGGACTAACTGGACCAGTATCAACATTATGAGAGGAAGAACTGCCAACTCCGGCGACATTTGGGCTAATATGGCCATTAATTAGGTTACCTTCTGACGAAGTATTAGAATAATTCGATTTCGCCTCTGCCATTTTTGTCTCCTCTTTCACCGACGAATTCAAAGAAGACTTTTGACTAGTTTTTACTACGTCTATTTGGGCTTGAGATTCGGTGATTTTAGCAGCCTGGTGAGTCAAATCTCCGTTGACAACCGTAGAAAGGGGAGTTCCCTGAGTGGTTTGTTGTGTTACTAGGTCAGCTCTAGCCCTTTTATTGCTATCTTCCTCAAAACTTATCCATCCTAAACCAACCTTAGCCGTTGAATTTGTTCCTTTAACTTCTCCTAGCGTCGTTGTCTGAGCTTTTCCCCGTTTAATTAAAGCCGAAGAAGCGTTTTGGAATATTTCACTCTCGCCATTAGCGTTACCAGCTGCATTCGACGTCGAGTTAGAAACTGGTTTCTTCTTTATTTCGGCTTCAGATGATTCAGAGCTTCCTTTTTCTCCAAGATGACTCGCCTTTAAGTCGGTAATAGGTTTTCCTTTGACGTCCAGTTCGTCTAGTATCTCGTCAGCGTCAATCTCTTCGGTTTTCTCGTCGTCCATTATCGGTTCTTTGAGCGCTTTGCTTCTGAAAGACGCCATTTTTGGTTGAGATTACGGAATGTCTTCCAGCCGTCCTTTTGAACTATTGTCTTTATACGATCAAATTCCCAGTTAATTATGTCCTAAATAAACCAAGAAATGATTAAGTCAGGCTTTTTGAACAATTCCAATCGAAATTCAAAATATTTCCTTGGTTTAGTCTATGTTTTTATGCGTACCTTTTCATAATATTCAAAGAGCTTCAAACTCTTTTAAGTATGGTTCAAACACAGCTGGTATTTCTCCACTGTTTGGCTAACCGATTGTTCCTCGCACCTCTCGTTTACCGAATACTGAATACAGCTGATATAGTTTCTTTTTTAGTATTCTCTGATGGACTAGCCCGTGCCATACAGATTAGAGCAGGTCAGTCAGCAGTCTATCAGGGAATCAAGAGATTGACTGGGTCAAATATAACCAGATCGTGTATCCTTCCTAGTAAGAAAATACCTCAATATTCGTCTCGACTTCTAAACCTGTATGATCTGAGGATAAATCGCCTCGATCTTTTGAGCCCAAGACCTTGAGTGATCTAAGTTTTCCAGTCTTGAATTGCCGCGTCTAGTTAAGACCAAATGGTCACCTCACTCGATGGCAAAACGAGCGAGCGAGAGCGTGGCTTGCTTTGACCGGAAGTCACTTTATATTCCGACCAGTCTCCTAATGGTTCCCCCAGAAGCGCCAAGCCTCAAGTGTTTGTTTTATCGCAAAAAAGACCTTTTACGATCCTTCCTGATTGGGATGCAATATTTTTAGTCAAACTACCAGCTTCTTTTGTTAACACTGTTTTTTTTGGGGAGATTTTTAATACATAATCATTGGGCGGGCGTACGTCTATTAAGCAATATTGACCTCTTGAGGTTATAAAACTAATATGCATGAGCTAAATGTTAAGATAGACAAAAAGCCCTTTCAAGTTGAATATTTGTGTCATCTTAATGATATAACATAAACTCAAATGGTCAGTTAAAGACTTAATACGAAGAATGCACAAATAGTTATATCGAAAAAATCGTGCGGCAGTCAATTTTGCCGCATTGAATTTTCGTCATTGTCACCACAAAATTACACCATCCTGGGAAAACAAACGCCTTAATTAATCAATTTTACCTCAAGAACTGAAAATAATTCACTTCGTTAAAGCCCTTCACCTTCTTTTATCATTTGAATAAAATTATACTCCCCCTACACACGTCATCGGGGAATTTCTGTTTATCCTTATYATTACATTAAGAAACCTCCAAAATAAACTCTTGGGGTTGCAGATGAGAGACAATTTTTCTCAATAACTTGAGTGCTTTGCGAAAAATGTAAATTATTTTTTTCCGACTCAAAAAATAGAATTGTCATGGCAACGTTTATGAAAGGTTGGTTTGGCCGCTTTAGTCTGTTGGGCTTCCTGTGGTATATCTTTGAGCCGCTCTACGTCTTTCAGCGGTGTACGTCCAAAAGAAAAATAGATGGCCGACATGACGATTGCATAAAATCATTGAGTGTGTTTTCTTGTCAACCTTTTACAATAACATTTACGAGTTGTTCGGAAGTTCATTAACAACCGACAAGAAAGCTATTCACAGCAAGTAAAACAGCTGGTTGATCATACTATTTTTGAATCCGATCAAAGTTATTTTGCGTTCAAGATATTATTGCAGAAATGAGATTTAAGAATCGGTTTTTAGATTTTCATCTCTTATTGCGTTGTTCGGCGTTGCCTTCGATCGCTCGATGTAGAGCGTAATGTAAAAGGAATTGCTTTTTAAGAGACTATTTTTATTGTGTATAAAGATGGGGTGCTTCAAATGTTCATCGTTCAGATCCTGTTGGAACTCCACGAAAATGTTTTTAATTTCACCTGAGGAAAGTGTTCGCAGGAAACGCAGATTACTGCTAGGAATTCTTGTTTTACTACTGGTTAATGTCATATGGGTCGCATCAGCAGAACTCAGTTCAGTAAGTAAACGATTAAAACAAATTGGACGATAGATTGCCTACTTTTTTTAAATAATTCTTAAATTTAGGTGCAAAATTTTGTTTACGTAAAAAAATCCCCTAAGTATTTAATCTAATCTAAAATGCATCTAATCTAATCTATAGATATATATATATATATCTATAGATTAGATAAATGCTAAGGGGATTTTTTCGTGTACACAAAATTTTGCAAAAGTACACAGGAAAAAAAAACCGGATTCCCAAACTAATTCCCAACGAATTCCCATCCAATTCCCAGAGAGAACGAATTGGGAACGTGGCACTGATTCCCAATGTTAGTTTGTTGGGAATTTTGTTTTTCTATTGACTATTAGAAGGAAATTGCCAACAATAAATCCCAACGTTGGTGTTCAAATTGGGAATTCAAGGAAATTCCCAACAGTTCCCAATTTGGGAATCCGATTTTTTTCCTGTGGTAGACAGTCACCTTAAGGAAACAGCTTTTTTAAAAAGGTTTGAGCCTCTACAAAATTTCAAATTTTTTACTGCCTTCCCTCTGAAGCCTCAGCCCCCCCCCCCCCCCCAATGGAAAAAGTACCTTCCCTTATTAATATAAGTTCTTTTCTTCACTTCAGTATATCTTTCAAGATGAAGGTTACAATAAGCCCTTCTTCTCAACGTACTTCAAGACTTCAGCATTCATGGTTTATTTAGCAGGATTTTTGTTTTACCAACCGTGGCAGTATCAGTGCCTCTTGTGCTTTAGGAAAAAAGTACAGAAACCTGTAAGTTATTTCGTATGGTTTTCATTTTTTTGATTCTTAGTTTCATATGAATCTACTTAGATAGATCAGTGAATTTAACAATGTGAAAAGATGGAAAAAATTACTGATGTTTTGGACGTTAGTCCCTCTTTTACTCGGACGAAGGACTAGCGTCCGAAATGCCAGTAAGTGTTTTCATCTTTTCATGGTGTAAAATTTACCCGTTTATCATTACTGTTTCATTAGAAACACAGACGCAGCTCACACTAGTTTTTAGCTAGTTATTCCTACTTAGATAGATCTTTTAGCATGGGTCGGCTTAAGGTTTTTTCTATTTTAATCCATGTGTCATTCTCTTGAAAACAGGATTCTCTGCTTGAATCGTTTATTGTTTAATTATTCTTTAGGGAATGACAGGTGGTCTGAAATGGGAAAACTGGTCTGAAAAATAAGAGTTATTCTAAATTACCCAAAAGAAAAATCTCTGGTTCGGTGGGGAAGAGTTGTGTTGTCTGTCTGGACACTTTTAAAGTACCAAAGATGGCGATATAAGACATACATATGTTTATTAAGGGTAGATCCATGATTTCTTGAAGAGGAGGTGCAACAAGTCATGATCAGGATATCCACAAACTCAAGCACCAACAATGCAGTATAATATCAGGTCATCTAATTGGGGGGGGGGGGGGGGGGGGGGGCAGCTTGAGTTCATTTAATTTCCTTGCAATTTATCAAACTTCAGAACAGTTAACAGGTCTCTTTATTTTTGCATTCTCCCCAGTCTACTTTATCTTAATTCTTTCTAAAACTGTAGTCAGTGCCCAGGAGGATCTGGGACCAACATTTACTATTGGTGGCTGCAAAGAAGACTCCAATCCTCCAGTCCCCCCCTCCCTCCCTTCCCCCTCCCTCCCTTCCCCCTCCATTATAAATAATTGTCCTGACCTTTATTCACTTACCTGTCATATCTGTTTCAACCCCTTTGATGGTTTTTGAAAACCTTGAATAACATCTTAATATTAAAATATTATTTTCTTCATCTTACTTAGTCAAGGGCCATCAGAGTGATGTCAAACAATGGTGTTATAACCCCAGCAAGAGAGAACAGCTCATTACTTTCAAGCCCACAATCCTCAAGATCATCTTCTCCTGGTCTCACACAGAGACAGTACTTGGTAAGATACACAATCCATGCTGTTCTTCCTCAGAACTGGGGGAGCAAGGCTTGAAATGTATTCCTTAAAATAGCATGGGTGGCGTTCGGGGCTAACACGTCGTCTTTCACCTCTGTGAGTCCAACGATGTGAATTGAGTTTGTTTGTTGTGTTGTTCTCTCCTATGCTACGAGATTTTTCTCCTGGTTCTCTGGTTTCCTCCCTCCATAAAAATCAACATGTGAGTTGAGCATTGTGTGCATAGAATATTGAATGAAGTGGTAGTGCATGCGTGAGCTGTTGTTCTGTCTTTCTTTTCTTCTTACATTCAGGAACGCACAATTTTGCAGCACCAAATCATAAGGAAATATTGTAAATTTGTAAATTTGGCCCTGGTTGCCTCCTTTTCAACTGGCCATGTGCCATTTTGGATTTAGGTGTATAGGCTTATAAACTTCAAGCTAATTCTTTTGTTTTATCCATCTTGTTTATAGACTGAATCTGTATTTGAACCAATCACAGATGAGGAGATAAGTCAAGCAAATGAAAATCTATGTGATGCTGAGAATGGCATAAATGGTATAAATATACCTATTTAAATTTTAATAGTGCATTTTTGGTGTAAAAGAATATAGAAGGTGTTTTGGACATGTCTTTTTTCCCCTTCCAGATACCAGACATGTGCGTTTTAATAATGTTAGAGAAGTCAGACATTTAAAAGGTAAGAAAAGTAGAAATATCAGATGTCCAATAATTGGAAAAGTTTCTTGCAATAGTTGGCAGGGAATGCATTTTTTTATGAGGTGAAAAATTTAAATTTAATTCAGAAAAGGTAATTAAAATTGAGGTGATAAATGTCTTGATGTGTAGTTCCAAACATTATCCATTCCCCCACAGAGGAATTTTTTTTGAGACACCCCACCCTTCGGAAATTTCAAATTCCTCTGTGGGGTGGGTATGGATAATTTCTGGAACTACACAATGTATAAGAAGCATAGGAAATCTCAYGATCTTGAGTACAATTTGGAATTAATAGGTTTGAGTGATGTTTTGAAAGTCCAATTTGAGAATTTTCAATACATCTTGAGTATAATATAAATTCTGAATTGTATGAGAAGATTGTGCCATTTTTTGTTTTTATACACTCAACAAAATTGAGCAACTTAATAACCCACTTCCAAATTATGCTTCACTAGTCACGCACAAAGGTTTCAATGTGAGGCCTTGTGCATATAATGCTCAGGGATTTGTGACGAAAGAAAAAATAAATTTAATATAATGTAGCCTCATACTAAAACCTTTGTGCATGACAAGCGAAGCATATAGCCTTGGATGTGACCTATTTGGACTCTACAGATCGAGAGTACAATATTAACGATTTGATCGTACTCCTCTTGTTCAATCAGAATTGAGTAATTTTGTTGAGTGAATTATAAATACCAAAAATATCAAGACTTATTTACAATGCCTCATATGAATTCACTATAAATAATGTTTCATTTTTTTTCAGCTGATAAATATTCACATTATGCAAGAATGTCTCATGTTGTTTCCGAACGCTTAAAAGATGTGGCTAAAACAGCATCAGAAAAAATCAATTTGTCAAGAGTTTCAAAAATAGCCGTGACATTTTGTTTCCTGGTAAGTCTTGGATATATTGAATGATGAATCTTCTTTGTTTGATTCACCAAATCATGGCAGGTGAAGAAGTAGTGCAGCTTGCCTCCAGTCTTGACTTGGATTCGGCATCACATGAGTAGAGTTCAGTAGTTAGGTACCTCCCTTGATTTGAGGGCTTTTCTTTTATTGTTATCAACCTCTATCTGTAAAACCAGATAACAAACTGATATCCAATTTGAATGAGCCATGCCCTGACTTAGATCAGCCTAGAGGTTGTTTCAGGGTTTGATCTGTTGGTTAGCCATGCCCTGACTTTGATCAGCCCTGAGGTTGTTTCAGGGTTTGATCTGTGAGTTGTCCATGCCCTGATTTAGATCAGCCCAGAGGTTGTTTCATGGATTGATCTGAATTGCTGTAGCCATGCCCTGGCTTAGATCATACTAAATGATTTTTCAGGGTTTGATCAAGGTGAATGACAAATGACCATGGGTACATGATCATGATTTAACATGATATGGCTGCTGTTATCAAACACAATATTGTCATAATTACCTTGTTAATTAATTGTTATTTAAGTGGTTCTTGGCGACATTGGGATATCAAGAGGCTTTAAATGATACATCACCTGCTGCAGTCAACATACTTTCCTCTACCTCAGGTAAAGGTTTTATTGCATTAATAATGCCATAAATGAGCCAATTTAAGAGAGGCTGATGGGGCAGCTTTCTCCCATTTTGATTAGGGATTATCATTTTTACCTAAGTATTTGCCCAAAATATCCCCAGAAAGCAGGAAATAGCATGTCGTGAAACCATATTTTAAAAATTTTTGTTTAGAGCATGGCCTCCTATACCTATGTTTTGCATAGCTAGTCAGCAGTGAGATATTGATCAAAATGCCAATTTTTCCTGTAAACTCTTTCTCGTATACCTAGATCCTACCCTAGTGTTATTGGAATTCTTTGCTGCCTGCTGGTTTTTGATCRAAGGATAACAGGGGCTGCAGAGCGGCCCAAAGAGTGGGGGGGCTAGCAACCTAGGGGGGTTCGGGGGCATGTTGCCCCAGAAAATTTTACAATCTTAAACTCTCCAGATGCGCTTTCCAGCGTTCTGAGGCAGTATTTTAGCACAAACATTCCTATTCTCTTATCTTTGTGTCTATGCGTGTTTCAGTACGATTTTGATTTTTTTTAATTTTTGATTTTTCTTTTTAAACAATTTGGGTAAGATATTTTATAAATTACAAAAAATTATTGTTCTAACGTTGTTGAAGAAAAAAAATCCAGAGAAATTAATTTGATGAGCTAAATGATAGACGTATGAAACGCATAAAAAAATTTGATTATGAAGAAATTACAAAAAAATTTGATCATGAAAAAGATTTAAAAAAAAAACAAAAAAAAACAAAAATCATGGAAAAAAAGTTGGGGGGTGGGGGGCTAAAGCCCTCCTATTCCCTCCCTATTCCCGGCCCCTGGATAAAGTAGAGAACGGGGAGAAAAGGAGAAGGTCGAGGTTGAATCCAATGTGTATTGTTTTCATTCAGGACTATTTACTCTTCTACTTGCGGCAGTATTTCAAAGCTCACCTTCTGATAGATTTACTCTCTCAAAGGTGTGTGCTGTTGTATTAAGGTAAGATAATGTTATAAAAGTATGATTTGAATAATATTTAATGAATAATAAGGACTATTGTGTTGTTGTATTAAGGTAAGATAATATTATGAAAGTACAATTGAATAATATTTAATCAATAATAAGGACGATGTTAGCTGATGTTGATTATGAGAATAGTGATAAAAATGATGATGATGATGTTAGTAATGGTGATAATGATGATGATGGTAATGGTTGTGGCGGTAATATGACAATGAGATGGTGATGATGATGATGCTGTTGATGGTAATGATGATGATGGTATTGATGRTGATGATGATAATGATAATGATGAAAAGAAAGACAGCTAACAGTCTACCAAATCCTTGGTTACAGCACATCTGTAACAAATTCTTATGTCTTTTATTTAGTATTTGTGGCATTACCATGGTAATCCTGTCAGATACGAAGAGCACCAAGGCTGAAGTAAACTATGGAGCTATATGGGCTTTGGCAAGTGCGTTTCTGTAAGTACCCGACGAGTTTGGGGGGAGAAGAATAAACTATATAATATGCCATATCCTATCCATATCATATGCACTTTGCTATAGTATTTTATTTTCACTTATGATTCTTTTCTTGTTCATTTCTCTTTGCTTTTAGATATGCATGTTATTTAGTGTTTTTGAAAAAGAAAGTCCCGGATGAGAGTAAAATAGACATTCCAATGTTCTTTGGTGAGTTTTCATCATATATATATATATGAGCGCGTGAAATGAACGGTACAGACTTACAGCACGTACACGATTTACGACATACCGTAGAGTGGTTTTTGTACGAGAGCGGAGAAACGTACGGTACCGTAGAGTAGTTGTCACCACATACGCGGTATACGATATACCGTAGAGCGGTAGTCGCGTATGAGTGGGAAACGTACGGTATTGACTTACAGTCCGTAGACGGTACGACATGCAGTAGAGCGGTTGTCGTATGTGTGGGCGGGTCTGTTATTCGCATGCGTAGATTATTTTAGCGCGTCATTTTCGATCGTATCTGCGTTTTTGGTCGTTTTAGTGTAGACGGGCATTAGTATGAAGAAATCCTAAGAAATCTGCGTTATAGGTCCAGTTCAGACGTCAAACTTTTACCGCCTCTTAATCTAATAGTAGAATTTCGTACATGACAATGAGTTGGACTTCCTTACCAAATGAATTCGACAGTAATTTAAATGACTGAACTAGTCGCAGCCCGTTTTGAATGAAGTACGACAAGAGAACGGCGTATGAATCAGCTGTTACTTCGGTATTGTATAATGCGGCAAGCCCTGTCGAACTTAACATGTTTGTCGTATCAAAAACATAAAAGGTACGGACTGATTATTTTTGACTGACAGCAGCGAAAAACCAATTTTCAGCGTGTGACTACCGAGTTTGCAAAATATGGAAAACCGCTGTAATGGATTTCAGTCGACTCTGGCAAATGTTCGACGCCTGGACTGGGCCTTAGGCTCAGGTCAAACTTCGAACTTCACATGAGCCAAATCTAATTCAGCGAAACAATAGATGACAAGGCGGTCTTCTTTGTGTCATTAGGTTCGACTCATGTGAAGTTCGACGTTTGACCTGAGCCTTAGACACCAGTAACTACATCTCGCGAACTATAAAGCCATTCTCATTAATACGGTTTATCAGTACCTTTATTCATAATGCTTCTTTATATTTTCAGATATTTCATTTCTTCTCGTTATTTTGCAGGTTTTGTTGGACTGTTCAACCTAGTTCTACTATGGCCAGGATTCTTTATTCTTCATTATACGAAAGTCGAACGATTTGAGTTACCACCGAGTATACATGTTTGGGGATACTTGACGTTAAATGCTATAGTTGGAACTGTTGTCTCTGAATTTTTATGGCTTTGGTAAGTTATGGAGTAATTACGAGCAAGTTATATTCGATATATAGCGATATTCACTGTTTACAAACATTGACGGTGGTCAGTCCTCAGTCCTTATCTTTTTTATGTTCAAAAAAGCCTAGAATATCTTAAATTTTTATCTTGAAGTTAAAAATAAAAAAAATTCTGTGTATAGTTCACGATAGTCTTGCATTTTCAAAAGCTTCCACTTTGAAGAGCATTACCTAATTCGTTTATTTTTTAGCTTTCTTCATGATACATTGAAGCATTCTAAATGAAAGGTTTTTGTCTTTAATGCTTTTTGATTTGTTCCCAAGTGGAAGCCATTTGAGAGCGACAGTGTGGAAGATTTTTTTTATCAGGCCCATCACAGATATTAATATTTGTCGTTCCATTTGTACATAAACAAATAAAGAAAGACTACTTAAAGTTGTACTGCGTAATCCTTATCTCTATAAAATCTTGAAATCTTAAAACCTTATTAGTTCCGATTCTTCACGTATTTTCTTCATTCATCAATCTATCGGAAACTTTCAAATTATTTTTTCGATAAACTAGCTGTTTGACACGGTAATTCAGCTTTGTTGAATATATGTTTATTTTGTCAGAGACAGGCTTTTTATGAACTGTCTTGTTCTTTTGTTGAATTGTTCTTCTGTCTGACGCTAATGGCATGGTTTTTCGAAAAGAGTTTACAATTTTCCCCACTATGATATTTTTGTTATTTTTACCACGTTTATCAAATCCTTATTTTGTTGCCTTTTCGTTACTTTTGGGCGTTTTCCAGTTTTCTTTGTACAGTAATAACACAAGACAGCTTTGGTCTTTATGATTTACGAGGCAAATTCTAGTTTAGAAGTTGAAGCACATGAGAGAACCAAAAAGCAACTCTATCAAACTACATGTCTGTACCTACGTGTGACTGTAAGGCATAGTAATAATAATAATAACTATATTTCACACAGAATTCAGAAAGCTATGATACATCCATCATCAAGTTTACGTTAGGGAAGATAAACAGGTGGCGTAGCCGTGAGAACGCTTGCCTCTCACCAAAGCGACCCGGGTTCGATTCCCGGGCTTTGTGTCGTATGTGAGGACAGTTGTTTGTTGGTTCTCTCCTGTGCTTCGAGGGTTTTTCTCCGGTTTTCCTCCCTCCTTAAAAATCAACTCCTAAACTCCAATTCCATCATGGAACGATGGCCGCTGGTTGTTAAGTTAAAATCAAGGACAATTATTTTTAAAAATACATGTGTATTTATATCCGTTATATTTTGGTTTGATTCAGGGGATGTTTTTTAACATCGTCACTGACAGCTACCTTGTCTCTCAGTCTTGTTATACCTCTTACGATGCTCGTAGATGTCTTCATGAATAGGGTGGGTATTGTTTATAGTACAAGTATTTTACATTTAGAGTGGTTTTACTTTACCTATGGAATAGTCAGTAGACTAATAGAGGTTTGTAAATCTTATTTCCATTGTTTTCTTTTGTTTCTAGTTGACTATTACCGTTGAAAAGTAATTTTGGTTTCACGAGTAAAAAAATTCCATCGAAATAAATATTATTCAAAGCATGTTTTGATTCTCTACTTTCACATCCCCATAAT